GAGCACGACGCGGGACTCGATCCGGGACTCCAGGATCATGACCTGAGCCGAAGGCAGTCGCTTAACCAACTGAGCCACCCAGGCGCCCCGGGGCACTCTGGTTCTTAATCGGTGTTTGTTTAGTGAATAAATCGGTGTCTTGCCATCAAGGCCTCAGTCCCCAGGCACAAAGGCAGGGCCCAGGCAGGTAGTCAAATCTCTTGGTCAGAGGAAATCCCAATCTTTCTTTTGGGGAGCCCCCCCTTCTCAGTCCTCTTGGAGTTCGCATCCAGCGCATTCTCTAGGCACACGGCTTGCGCTGGACCCACTGATTGATCCTGGATAGGCCAGTGACCCCATCAAAGCCCCTGAGATACGAGGAGACTTTTCTGGCACTGTCAGCTTAGAGACTTTTGGCTTTTCATGATCTGAACCCTAGCAGCCTCCCCGCTGACCTGTGGAGCAGAGAATGATGCCGCCATGGAGGGCAGAATTTAGGAACGGGGACAGATGGATCCTGATGCCACTATTTGACCCCCGGATCCAGCCGTGCCTGAAGCTAACACCCTAAGCACTTGTGTACCAGAATAAATTCACATCTTTTTGGTGGGTAAAGTGGTTAGGGTTTCTTTCTCTAGCATCCAAAAAGGCCCCTTCCCCATTCCCATGGATGCCCACTCACCCAGAGCTGTCCCATAGCCAGCAGTGGCCAGCGCACCAGTGTTACAGTGGGTCAGCACGGTCACCTTGCCGCCCCCAGGAGCTGCCCGCTCCAGGATGTGGTGGGCTCCTAGGTCCCCAATGCTCCGATTGTCCTTGAGGTCTTTCTCCAGCATGTCCTCAGCGCAGCGGATCACTCTGGGGCCAACAAGAGGCTCTCAGCACCAGCCACCAGGCCTTGGTGCCCCGGCTGGCCCCTCTTCCCTGGCCAACACTCCTGTGCAGGAGCCCTCTTGCTCAAAGCCCCTCCAGGCTGTGGGGCCTACACCCTTCTGTTATTGTCACCTGTCACACCACACGTGTATGTTGCTCACACAACACGTTTACCTCATATGTGTGGGAGGGCACAGCAATGAACAGGACAACAATCTCTGCCCCTGTGGAGCTCACAGTAGAGTGGGGAAAGCAGGTGGTGAGCAGTTAATGAAGTGAAGGAGAAGGCAGCCGAATCAGGGGACAGAGCACAGGAGATGAACTGTGTTACATGAGGCGGTGGGGAAGGCAGAAATCTGAAACCTGCTGGAGAGTTAGCTCTGTGGATAGCCGCCTGCAGAGATAGCATATGCAAAGGCCCTGAGACAGGAATAAGCTTGGTGGGGTCAAGGAACACGGAAGGTAACCACATAGCTACAGCAGAGAAGAGTGGAAAAACAAAAGGGCACGGTGGGGATCAGGACAGGAAACAAAATTCCTCAAAAGCAAAAACCAGGAGAATGCAGTGGCTCGGAAAAGGACCTCTAAGGCAGATGGGGCTGGGCATGTTCTGGGGAGGCAGAGTGAAGGCGCTGAGTGCAAGAACCTTGGGACCCAGCTGCCCGGGGTGGACTCTTAGTCCTGCTCGTGTGGCCTTGGCCTGATGTGCCGTGCCTGCCTCAGTTTCGCTATATGTAAAACGGGTCGCTCTGCGAAAAAATGAGTTAATAGCTTCCACATAGAGCAGTGCCTGGCACAAGGTCCCCCTACCTTTCCCGGACCGCCGCCTCCGTGGCGCCCTCGCGCTCAGCCTCCAGGGCTGCGGTCTCGGCCAGGTGGCGGGCAGCGCGGGCCATGTTGACGGCGGTGGGCCGGGCGGTGACCAGGAAGCTCAGCGCGTCGCGCACGAAGGCCACCAGCGCGGCGAGTCCCGGTCCCCCCGCGCCCGCCTGCAGCTCCACGGCGAGGCTGAGGCAGCCCACGAGCGCGATGGCCGGGGCGCCGCGCACCTGGAGGGGGGGATCCTGGGGTCAGGCGGGGGCGCCCCCGCTCCCACCCCGGCCCCGCCGCTCCGCCGCGTGGCCCCACCTTCATGGCGCGGATAGCCTCCCAGGCCTGGCGCACCGAGCCCACTGCCTCGTAGCGACTGTGCTGGGGCAGGAGCAGCTGGTCGAGGATCTCTAGCGAGCCCCGAGAGTAGCGGATCGCCTCCAGGGACATGGTGTCACCGCCTCGCTCACGGCCACTCAGGAAGCAGTCGGGGCGACCCGAGCACGCGGGACGCGCCCGGAAGGCGAGGAGGGGGCGGGACCGGCGCGCCCCTCCCCCAAGGAGGCGCATGCGCACAGCAAACCCGCAGGACCCGCGACTAATTCCACCTTACTTTTCCCGGTTAAGTCTGGGCAGCTAGTCGCCTCCTGGAAACCACCGATGGCACCGTTTATGGGGCAACTACTGGATTCTAGGCCTTGTGTTTAGCCAGCGAGAATTAGGGCCTCATAGCGTGATCCCCCAAGTCACCCTTAGGCCCCTGACTTTGGCCAGAGCGAGTGCTGAAGGTGGTCTCAAGGAGAGAAAGGCCCGAATTGGGGGGATTCCAAGGACTAAGGGGTCTTACTGTTGCCCCGAAACCTTCCCATCCCGGCAGAGAGCAAAGGCTGGTGAGCTGGGGACAGCCATTGGGGCTACCATCTGCCCCGAGGGACAGGCACAAATAAGAAGTTGGCCAGAACCTCAGCCCCACGAGGGCCGTGTATCTGGTTCACCACTGTATCCCCAGGGCATAGGTTGGTGCCTGGCACACCGCAAATACCCCATCAGTACTTGTTAAATGATCTTCCTTTTCCACGGTTTCGGGGGAGGGGGCAGGCAGCATCTCTGGGTGGATGCCCTGCTGTTTCTGAGCCCTTTTCTGCTCAGTTTGCCAGTTCCCTTCAAAAGATGCATCATTGTAGGGAAGGGGAAGGGGAGCTCGTTCACGACCTTCCAAGGCATCCCCACAGGCTGGGGATAATGAAAACCCCACACTTGCATACTCCAGGCCCAGGTGCTTCAGGCACCACCTATGTTCCCAACCCCCAGCCTTCTCTGTGGGGTTACTGCGGTCTGGTTCCCTTTCCACCCGTCACCCTCAGCCTGTGCTGCCTCCTCTGGGAAGTCGGCTCGGATTGCAGACCAACCAGAGCCTCCACCTTGAAACCCTCAACAGGACGGGTGGGGATCATGGCTGGGGCCACAGCTGCGGCAGCAGCATCACACTGGCTGATGAGAATCCCCGAAGCTCAGGTGGGTGGGGGTGGGGGAGACAGCCCCTGGGCTCATCTAGCAACTTGAGGCAGGGACAAAGAAGCAGCGCTTTAATGTTGGGATGTTGTCCCACAAGGCACAAACACCCTCTCCAGGACCAAATAAATATCTTCCCTGCTGCGGGAAGGCGAGGTCTGGGGAGGGGCAGCGTCTGAGCTCTCCAAGGGCTGGTGGGCAAGCAGGGCTGCAGTCTGAGGGGCCTCCTGGGCCCGTCGCAGCCTCTGGAGCAGGTGCGGTCCCCAGAACTGCTCACTCGCTCTCGGAGTCGGAGTAATCAGCCACAAGAGAGGAGCTGAGGGTGCACGGGTGTGGTGTGTCCTGGGGGGTGGCTGCCTCCTGAGAGGAGCCTGGTGGGGACTGGGGCCTGTCCTGACACTTCCCTTCCTGCCCCCGAGGCCCCCTGCTCTTGGGGGTCTCGGCTGTCTCTGGAGAGCAGTCTTGGGGGCATGTGGGCCCGTCCTGGGTGTTCCCCTCTGGCACCCATGTTTCCCCAGGCTTGGGGGTCTCCGCTGTGTGCTGGGGGCTCTCTGAGACCTCCCGGGACCGCCGTCGCACGATGCCCAGGTCTCCTACAGTGATGGGAGAGCAGACGAGTGCTGATCTGCGGTTCTGGGCCAGCTTCTTCAGGACGCTGCCGGCTTTGCTGCTGCTGGTGGTGGGTCCCGGGGTGGAGGGGAACCAGGAGCGGCTGATGATCTCTGTCCGCTTGAGTTTCTGCTTGTCCTCGTAGGCTGGGGGTTGGGAGGGAAGAGAGGGAAGGAGGTCCAAAGCTGCCCCCTGCCTTGGCCTGCCACGGCCCACTCGTGGCCGGGGACCCCCATCTCTGCCTGCCCAGTACCCACCCCCCGCCCCCGCCTGCTGGCTCCCCACGCACAGTCCAGGGTGTGGAACTTGAGCAGGGCGGCCAGCCTGCGGTCGTCCTCTGTCTCGGGCACCAGTGGGATGGCCAGGCTCGCCTTAGCCTGCAGCGCCTGGTCCCTCTCTTCTTCTTCCTGCATGGCTTTTTTCTTTTCCTGTGTGGCGGGGGACGGGGAGGGGGAAAGGTATGGTGGGTGTCAAAGACCTGCCTCTTCCTTGCCCGCTGATCTGGGCTGTGTCCCTCTGCTCAGCTTCCTCCTCTTCAAGCTCATTCGAGGAAAGGGCCTCCCACAGGGCCCAGGATGCAGAAGTCACTCAGCAAGTGCAAGATGCAAGCGTCATTAATACGCGCACTGTTCAGTCCTCTGCTCATCCAACCCATGAATATTCACAGAACGGCCAGCTTGTACCAGGCCTTGTTCTAGGCACTGGGGATGCAGCAGTGAGCAGACACAAACCCTTGGCCTCACGCGGCTGACATTCTAGTGGGTGAGAGAGACAAAGTGGCGAGGAGAAAAAGAATGCTGGGAAGGAGGTAGGGAGTGAGGGGTTCAACTGTAAATGTGGTGCAGGACGGAGGGAAGGGTCAGGCAAGGTCTCCCCGAGAAGGTCACATTTGAGAAAAGATGTCTGAATGAAGGAGTTAAGTGCATATCTGGTGGAAAAGTGTTCCAAGGTAGAAGGAACAGCCTGTGCAAACGCCCAGAAGCAGAGGTGTGCTTGGAGTGGTTGAGGAACAGCGAGGAGGCCAGTGTGGCTGGAATAAAGTGATTGAGAAGGTGGAGACAGTAGGGAGGGGGGAGGTGAGATCATTCGGGCTGTGGGCCATGGGGAGGACTTTGGCTTCTATTTTAAGTGGGAGCCATGGAGGATTCTAAGCAGAGAGATGTGAAATGACTCAGGTATTCACAGGTGCCTCCTGGTGGCCATGTGGGGAACAGATTGTGTGTGGGGGTGGGGTGTGGGGGCGAGCGCCTGGAGACCAGGGCTGAGAGACTGTGCTGGTCCAGGCAGGAGATGATGGGGGCTGTGGGAGTGGTCAGACCCTGAAAAATTTGCCAACAGGAAACAGGGGTGAGGGGGAGTCAAGGTCAACTCCAGGTTTTGGGGCCTGAGCCCCTGGAAGGACAGAGATGTCTCCATTGCCGAGAAGGGGAAGATGCGGGTGGGTGGCTTAGGGCCAGATGGGGGCTTGTATGTTTGAGGGTCCTTATACACCTCATGGGGAGACGCCCAGAAGGCAGGGGACACATAGCTCAGGGCACAGGCCCGGCTGGAAGCATATGTTTTTGATAACAAATAATTAGTAAGAAAACTAGCAGTTTTACTCTTAATAATGACCACAGAACAATCAGCAAAGGAAGCAGGAAGGGACAGGAGCTGTAGGATGGTGACAGTCTGCGCTCTATGGGGGTTGCTGGGGAAGCTCCTGACTGCCTGGGGGGGCACAAGGCGCCTCACAGACTGAGGGAAGAGGGAAGGGTCTCACGTCCTGCAGGATTTTCCGGTGCCCCGCCAGATGCCCGAGAGGGTGAAAAATCCATTCATGGTACACCCATCTGACCCTGGGCCCTGACTCCCTGTGACGTGGCACCACCCAGTATCTTTGGTACAACTTCAGAAGCCATCGTGGTCACTGACAGCAGGGCCCCGGGGTGTCCTCGAGCCAGGACTGTGTCCCTGGGGACAGGAGTCGGCGTTTGCCCCTGTACCCTCAGCGACTCTCCACGCCAGGGCAGGGGTCTTGGCCAAACATTCGTATACTGAAATATGCACGATTACATTTCATTGTAGGTGACTTTCCCTTAAAAAAAAAATTTTTTTTTTTTTTTAACCACAGGGTACTGCGGAGTTGATTCTGGCAATTACGTAGGGGTGGGCTGACGATCTATGGACTTCGTTTTGGGATAGATGAGTGGATCCATGAAATGTGTGTTATGAGCTGAGCAGTAGGTAAGTGCGCGGCAAGCTGGGGCTCCCCATGGGTGCCCTGAGGTAGGGACGCGGTGACATGGGGAAACTGAGGCTCAGAGCTAGGATGTGGTGTGGCGAGGGCTGCCCCTGCATTCTTCCCCTTCCAAAGTCGGCAACCCCCGCTCCCTTGTGGTCCCGACCCCAGGCAGGCGCCCCCACTCACCCGGAACCTCTTCCGCAGCATGCTGTTGAGCGCGAAGTCATCCTTCCAGGCGCTCTGGGCCTCCTGGATGTGGCTCAGGGTGGGAAGGGCCTTCTTGAGTGTGCTCCGGTCAGCCTCGCCGTGCTCCAGGCGGAACATGGCATCCGTCTCCAGCTTCTGCTTCTTCTCGTGCTCTGTAATAGCCAGAAGGCGGCAGGGCCTTCAGGCTCCCGCTCGGCCTCACAGCTGGCCTTGGGGCCCACGCCCTGTGCTCACCTGTCGTCAGCACCTGCTCATTGTCCACCATGTCCCAGCGCTCCTCCTTGCGCTGGGCGCCGCTCACAATCACGTAGTCACAGTTGGCCGGGTCCGTCTGCATCTCGATGTAGTTGACACAGAGATGACATTTCATCCGGAACCTGGGTGGGCAGAGGGCGGAAGTCAGGCCACCCGTCACCCCTGTCTGCTTCCTTCTGTTTGTGCGCGTCACGCGACAAGTGTTCACTGAGCACCTACTACACACCAAGCTCTGCATCTGGGGTTAGGGCCGTGGGTGAGACACACTGTCCTATCAGCCCAGAACTGACTTGCTGTCTGGTGTTTGTTCATTTTTCACTCACGTATTCAACAAACCCTCCCGAGTCAGGCTGCTCTGTGGCAGGCTGGGCGGCAGCTGCTGGGGACACAGCAGTGAAGGATGCCAGCCTGCTCTTGGAGGGACTGACATTCCAGCAGGGGCCACACTGGCAGCAAATACACGAGCAACCAGTGTCAGGTGGTGAGCGCTGCTTTGGAAAAGGCCTCTCTCAGAGGCGGTGTTGGAGCAGAAACCCAAGGAGGGGGTCTTTCTGGGCTGTGTGAGGGACCTCGAGGGGGAGAGTGGGGGGAGGTGAGGATAGGGAGGGGACCAGGCCGAGCGTGCAAGGCCTTGTGGGCCATGGGGAGGGCTCAGGCTTTTACTCTGAGAAAGGTGGGAGCCATGGAGGGTTCTAGGCAGAGGGGATGTGCCCTGATTGACAGACCGGGACAGTTTCCAGGAAAGGACCGCAGGAAATGGCCATCACGGAATGGCTGATCTTCTACTCGGACTCCTCTGGAGCCCCCCTCGCCCTGCAGCTATCTGATGCATCCCTCTGAGACACCAACCAGGCCGCCTGTACCTGTAGATTGGGGTTGTGTAGTAATTGCCAACCTTCTTCTTTTCTGCATTGTAGCGAACACCTGGGAGAAGAGGGAGAGAATGGAGGCTCAGCATCTTTTCCCTGGGTGGGGGGCAGAAAGGGGTGGTATTCCTCCAGAGACACCCCTGGAGGGCCCTAAAATTCAAGGTGGGAAAGAGCCATGTCCAGGCTCCATGACAGGTGCTCAAGCCGCAGAGGAGGGTGGGTGGCCAGCAGGAGGGTCCAGGTTCAAATCCAGACTCTACCATATTCCAGCTAGGTGACCCTAGGCCGGCTACTTTGGCCCTCTGGGCCTCAGTTTCCCCATCTGTTCAATAGGGAAGACTATAACGGATACCACGCAGCGCTGTTGTGAGAATCACAGGAACTAATAGTACTCACAGATCACTTAGCATAAAGCCTGGGACGTGGCAGGTGCTCAAGAAGGGTTGGCTTTTATTATTAACGTCTTGTGTTTTTTGTTTTTTCACTGATTAGATGATATATACTCTTGATCTGCTTAATATTGTTCACTGGGTGAAAACAGCTTAAACTACAAAAATAGAGCTTGGGCTGGTGGGTGGTGTGGCCTGAGTTTTCCTTTCCTGGTGGCGGCTTCGGTTCATGGCCCTGAGGGTGGCCTGCCTCTGGTGTCAGGCTGCACCCTGTTTCTGTCCCCTGAGCACCTGGTGGACTTCGCTGCAGATGCCCCTGGCTGGGTCTGATCAGGGAAACCTACTGGCGAGGACAGAGTGTCACTCATCCTCCTCAGCAGTGGGGTGGCCCAGCCCCTCCTTCTGCTCTTCCATGGTCCCTGTGAGAGGGCTGGACCCTCGTACCAAGCACCACCACTCCTATTTACAGAGCGACCTGCTGTCCTGGGCTAGGCGCTGCATGAAGAGCTGAGGGTCCCTGTATCACAGAGTTGGAAACGGAAGCCAGGTGGGTCAAGTCACTGGCCTGTGGTGTCAGAGCTGCCCATGGGACCACGGGCCCACGTCTGTCTGTCCGTCCATCTGTGGCATGGACAGGGGTCCAAACGCTAAAGGTAACAGCAAGGGCAGTGGCAGTTTGAGTTTATGAGCCCTCATGTGTGCTGTGTGCTACATACTTCGTATGCCACACAGGTGGGGCGCTCATACCATCTGAATTTATGGCTGGGGTAAACCGAGGCACACAGAGACTAAGTCACCCACTGAGAGTCCCCGAGCTAGGAAGTGGCAAAGCCGGGCCTCCTCACTGCTCTCCACAACCCACCAGTCACTGGGATGCCTATCTCCTCTCCAATTCCTGATCAGGGGCCCCTGGTGGAGATGGTCTCTCACGGTCCGGTGGGGAAGGGGCTCGCCGTCTGCAGGGCTGAACGGTCAGGGGTGGGGTGAGGAGCGGAAGGGCAGGCGAAGCTCACCCATGCCGATGTGGTTCTTGCAGCCATCACACCAGATGTTATAGGGCATCTCAAACCTACGCAAACAGAAAATGGCTGATCGGCACCTGTCTGCTTGTTGGGCCCTGCCTGGGTCTGCGCGCCTGTGCCTCCTGCCACAGCCCGCGGCGTGGGGAGGACAGAGAGCGGTGGGCGTTCCTACAGCCAGGCCGGTCCTGTCATCCTGCTCTCCTGCGGGCTCACCCCATCCGGGTGAGTCTCCGCCGGTGTGGCCCTGTCTTCATGCCTCACCCTGTCAGCTAAACCAACTGGAGCAGAGGAGGAAGCGAGCTGAGCGGAGCAGTGGCCCGACCAGAGCTTAGCTGGGTTGCTGTAGGGTCCCTGGATTTCTTTCCACGGTTCTATTTGCGACACTGATCTGGCCGTCCGTGTGCAGGAGTGACAGAGCTTCCATTTTAAAATACCACAAAGTGATGAATAATGAGGTGAAGTAAAGACCCTGTGGTATGAGCGGAGGGCCCCACAGACAAGAGTGGGAGCAGGTGGCGTGCACAGGCCCGTGGCGGCTGAGTGTGGCGGGCTCTGGGGCTGGAGGTGCGGGGGCTGTTCTGGGGCGCCCTTCAGCTCCGTGCCTCCCGAGGTCACTGCTGGCGCTCGGATCTTGATTCTTCTTCCATCGACATTCCCGCCTCTCATGATTGTCGTTGGATCCTCCGCTCAGGCCCAGGTTGCACCACAGAGACGGAGGTCAGGGTCCACGAAGCAGACAAGGGCTCGTCCTTCAAGGCACCACAGGCTGGCTTCTGCTTCCTGTCGTGGCTGGGCCACTGGGGAGCGGGCCACACACCAAAGGAGAGCCCTGCGGGAAGGGCCACTGTCCTGGCTCGATGGTGGTCACGGCTGGGATTCTTTATCCTCCCCATATCTGTGCCCTTTGCAGTGTGACTCCGCAATGCTTCCTGTCAAGAGGTGGATGAATTACCACGCCCCCACCCCCTGCAACACGACTGGCTTTGGGCGATCACGGAGCCGGAAGGGACGGCGTGCCTGCTCCGGGGCTTGGCCTCAAGAGTCGTTGCATGCCTGTGCTCGCTCCCTCCTGGAACCCGGGCGCTGCCATGTGAACCAGCCCAGGCTAGCCAACCGGAGGATGAGACACATGTGGAGCAGAGCCCAGTCGTGCCGGCCCAGCCAGTTGCCAGGCAGGCGACCCCTGAACAGGTAAGAGAGCCCAGCCCGAGTCAGCCAAGTCCAGGCAAGGCCAACGGAGGCGTCCAGCAGAGTTGCACAATTGTGAGCAACACACACTGCGTGTTTATCACTGGGTTACACGGCCATAGCTGATGGATAGAGCGACTTCCCGCTTTCTGGAATTAAGACCCTGCGACACTGGACAAAATCAGGGGCGCTGAATTCTCCCAGAGCCCGATGCCAGGTGGCGCAAAACGCAGGGGTCCGCAGGTGGTGCTGGGGCCTTACCTGATGATGAGGATGCCCTGGGACAGCTTCCGAGCCCGCTCCCGCAGCGGGTGGCTGCTGTGGTACTGGTTCAGGGAGCCATGCTGTGGGGGGGACAGGGGAGCGGATCAGCACAGCCACGCTGGCTCTCCCCGGCTGAGAGGCCGCCTGCTCGCGCCCTGCGGCAAGTGCCAACAGCAAACTGCGAGGCACTGAGGCCTTGGGGAAGCAAGTGGGGTTGGAAGCAGGAATACGTGAGTTTGAATCTTTGCTCTTCCATTTAGGAGTTGAAAGAGCCACGTGACCCGGGGCAGTGAGGTTGCCTTTTGCCTGCCGAGCCTCTGTTTCCCCCATCTGTCGACTGGGGACGGTGACTGTGATTGCCTCTGGTGTTGTGGGGACGCTGAGGTGAGGGGACAGCGCTGGTCAGCGCTTACTGGGCACTTCACGGGCCTCATTTTGTTTTTTTCCTTTGTCTTTTTTTTTTAAAGGTTACTTTAAGATTTTATTTTTAAGTCATCTCTCTGCCCAATAGGGGGCTCGAACTCACGACCCCGAGATCAAAGAGTCACAGCTCTATGGACTGAGCCAGCCAGGCGCCCTGCGTCATCTCGTTTTAACCCCTTAAGGATCCTGTGACGTTGGGCTGATTTTTAGTTCCCCCTTTTGACATATGGGGAAACTGGCACAGCGAGCCCAGTCACGTGCCTGGGATCACACAGCCGGGACAAGTTGTCCCCAGGCCCTTACACAGTGCCTACAGTGTGGGACCACAGCTGTGAACGAGATGGATGGACATCTCTGCCCTTAGGCAGATGTTCTAGAGGGGGAGAGGGACGATATCCAAATGAAATGATAGTGCATCAGGGAGTTATAAGGGCTACAAAGAGAAATAAGGCACTAGGTGATGCTATAGAGGACGAGATGGTGGTCAGGCAGGCCCTCTGTGGGGAGAGACCTGAAGGGAGGGAAGGAACCTGTGGTCAGAAGGGATTCCAGGCAGAGGGAAGAGCCGAGGGAACAGAGAGGAAGCCAGAGGAGGTGGACCTGGGAGAGTGAGGGGGTCTGACACAGAGCACGTGTGCTGGACCTCCTCCTGACCTTCGCTGCAAACACGCCAAGCTGGGCCCGGAGTAAAAGGTCAATGATGACACAGCCACATTTACCACTGGGAACAAAGACTGTCCTGAGCCCCATGTGACAAGTGCACGGCAGCGAGCCCTCAGAGGCCACCCACGCTCTGCAGCCACGGCTCTGACCCCAGGGGTGGATGATGTGCTCTGCGGCCCCTGCTATGGAGTCTCTTTGCTAGTGTGGACACGGGGAAGGGAACCTGCCCTTACCTTTTCAGGATTGAAATCCGGAGGGTAGTACTTGTTTACACCTTTCCTTTCACCCTGGGAAGCAGAAGAGAGACGTGACTCAGAGAGGGTGTCCTGGAGGAGACCTCGTCGTGCAGCCTCGAGGGGCAGGACCCGGACGAGGGAGCCTGAGGGACATCCTAGAGAAGCCCTGGGCTCTGAGGGTCTGAATGGAGACTGTGACTTGGGAATTGGCGAACCACCATCATCACCGCGGAAAACTCCACGAGAACCAGACTCTCCTAAGGTAAGGGCGTTCAGTGTTTTGGGGACCATGACCGACAGCAAAGCCACATTTACCACTACCACCGAGCACACGCACAGGTAATAGAGCGAAGCCCCGTGTGGGTTTTGTGAAAGAACACTTACCCCGGCTGGGAGGGTCTTGCTTTTAAATGCTGGCAGCCCCCCAATAAACTGACCTCATCACCCACCAAAGCAGTGGGTCTCAAACCTGGCTGAACATTACATCCCCCTGAGGAGTTTCTAAAATACCGATGCCTGGCCCCCACCCCTAGAAGTTCTCCTGACCGGGTCTGCTCTGGGGTGTGGTGCCGGGACACGGGGCTTTTAAAAGGCATCTTCCAAAACGGGTGTTTGAACAAATCCTTGTGCACGCATGCCCACAGCAGCACTAGTCACAACAGCCAAACGGTGGAAACAACTCAAATGTTCATCAGTGGATGAATGGATACGAAGAATGTGGCCGATCCAGATGGGGGAATATTACTCAGCCATAACATGGAATGAAGTTCTGATTCCTGCTGCAATATGGATGAACCTCAAAAACATTAGGTTCGGTGAAAGAAGCCACACACGAAAGGCCACATATTGTATGATTCCACTTACAGGGAATGTCCCAAATGGACGAGTCCATGTAGACAGGAAGCAGGCTGGTGGCTGCCGGGGGCTGGGGAGTGACTGCTCATGGGGACAGGATTTCCTTTTTGGGGAGAGGGGAACGCTTTGGAACTAGATAAAGGTGGTGGCTGTGCCACACTATGAAAATACTAAATACCACTAAGTCATACACTCTACAACAGTTAAGGAATTTCACCTCCTTAAAAAACAAAATCAAAAGAAAAAAGAAAAGAAAAAAGCTGCCTGGATGATTTTAGTGCATGGCAAAGTATGAGACCCACTGCACCAAAAAGATCACGATCCAGAGTTTGGAAATACCACCTTATAGCTCGGGGACAGGGAGGGAAAGAGCTACTTTGGGGGCCTGACGAAGACCAGAAGAGAAACCCAATGAGCACAAGGCTGTCCACTCACCATCTTGGCAGCTGCCTACTGGTCCTCGCCCTCAACACGGCTGATCTGAAAAGATGAGACACGGATTGTGCAGTGTCAACCCCCTGCCCAGTCCTGCCCTCCCGGGGAGTCTGGTGGAGGGGCCACGGCTTCCCGGAGAAGATGCTGTGGGCTGTGTGTGATGTCGGCAGCTTAGACGATCCTCCAAAGAGCGGTGTTTGTCTGTTTAGAAAGATAGTGTCCTGTTCACTCTCCATCCAAGATATATTTCACACCTGACACTTCTCATCCTTCTGTGGCCTCCATCATCGCTTACCTGGACCAGCGCAGCTGCCTCCTCCCCGGTCTTCTGGCTCTGCTCTTGACTGCCCCAGTCTGTTTTCCCCACAGGGACCAGAAAGAGATCTTAAAATATAAATTCTCCTGCTTAAACCCCTCCAGTGATGGCCATCGGTTGGAGAATCAAGTCCGACCCCTTCCCATAGCCTGTGGGGCCCCTGCCTGCCTCTCCAAGTGTGCCTCTTACCCCTCTCCCTCTCCCTCACTCTGTTCCTGTCATGCTGGCTCCCTGGCTGCCTTCAAAGCCTCAGCAGGTGCAGGCCAACTGCCTTGAATGCTCTTCCACCAGCTGTCTGTTCTCTGTCACAGGCCTCAGCTCAAACATCATCTCTGTCAGGGGCCTCATCTGACTACCTGATCTAAAGTCGCTTCTTCCCTGGGGTTCCTATCACATGGCCCTGTGGCGGTTTACTCGTCTACAGTCTGTCTCCTCCGCCAGGTCACACTGTGCTATAACTCCAGCACGTGGGACAGTGCCTAGCCCCTGATAAATGCTGACTGTGTGAACCACTCCCCTAAGAATTAGCGCAGGTGACATGGGTATCAGACACACGGCTCCTTAAGCTGGGGGTGGGCGACCTCCCTCCTCCTGTATGTTTGCAGGAGAGACTTTTAGGTCAAATAAAAGGAAGTTCTACTTGACACCAAAGAGAGATGCTACGAGGGACTGAAGCATATTCTAGAATGGAGACTGGCGAATTTTCTCTATCAAGGACCAGATAGTATTTCTGACTATGCGGACCCAACTGCCTCTGTCCCAATGACTCAACTCTGCCGTCATAGCTAGAAAGAGGCTGCCGACAATATGTAAATGGGTGTCAGCTGCATTTCATCAAAACTTTATTTATGGACACTGAATTTTGAATTTCACACGGTTGTTAACTGTCACAAAATATACTTCCTTTTGATTTTTCCCAACTACCTATGAAGTCAAAACCATTCTTAGCTGTCAGCCTGTACAGAACCAGGCAGTGGCCTGGTTTTGGCCTGTGGGTGTAGTCTGTTGGCTCCCTGTGCTAGAGTCAGGAAGTATCTAATTGTTTCTGCCAACTTAGCTGTGTACTGTCTACCAGTTACTGCATGCCAGGCACTGTACCGACTCCGACATCACTGCCTCGTTTCGTCTGTTTTATGTCACTATTATCCCTAGTTGATGAATGAGGACATGGGGGCTTAAGAAACTTCCCAGGATCAGAGGCAAAGCTGGGGTGCAAAGTTCCAGATGTACACTGTTCTGCCATGACCCTGAACATCCATTCACCTCAGATCCTCCATCTGTAAAGTGTGTCCCTGGACCAGATTTTCCCAAGGTCACTTCCAACCTAAAAATGCTTTTGCCAACAACACAGCTAAGCGCTCACTCAGGCTTTGGGGCACAGTTCCCTGCGCCTGCATCCCAGCTCCACTCCTTCCTAACTGGGGGACTTCAGCCAGTGTCTGAGCATCTCTGAACTTATATTTCCTCACCTGTAAAGAGTCTATGATGGTGACAGGACTTTCTGGGGTTGCTGTGAATAAAGTAAGACACTGGGAAATGTTTGCAGGGTACCCCATTTTCAGGAGCTGGGGCTCTCACAGGGGTTTTACCACCACAGTGACTGGCACAGGTGGGGCTACAGGATGAATGTATAGAAATCTCTAGTTCTTGGTGTCAGGAGTAATTATAAACCCCACTGGCTTAGGGCATAGTGCTTGGATCCCGACTCTGCTTGCTAGCGTTTCGACTTTTGGCAAAGCATTTCTCTCTGAGCTTCAGTTCTCTCATCTATAAAGAGGGTTTATAAAAGTATCAACCTGATAGGGCCGCTGTCAAAACTCAGTGAGTTGAAGTACTTAGTCCAGCGCCTGATGCAGAGTTGTATGTTGGTACCTTCGATTATTTCTCATGCCAAACCGTTTTACAAGCATCAAAATCTTCACCATAACCCAGTGAGGTAGGCGCTCCCTGGTCCCATTTTTCAAAGAAGAAAACCTAAGGGCCCTTCAGGCATAGCATGGCCCGGGGCTGGGGCTGAAGTCGCGGCCGGGCCCGGGGATTTCAGTCAGGGGTCGCGGCTGGGACCGTAGCCGGCTCCGGACATGGGCCCACAACCGCAGAGCCCCGCGGCCCCCAGCGCGCTCGTCCCCCATCGGGCGGCTCCGAGATCGGGTGAAGCAACGACCAGACCCAGGGCCCTCACCGTGCCCGACCGCCCCTCCGCCCGCGCGTACTTACCTGCCCTCCTCCTGACGTCACGCCGTGCCAGTGCCCGGAAGTGAGTGCTGGGCGCACAAGGGGGCGTGGCACACTCCGCGTAACGCGGACGCTGGCGCGAGGCGGGGCTAAGAGGCAGGGCCGCGCTGATTTGATTGGCTAAATGCCAAAAGGAGTGGACCAGTCCGAGCTTTCCCTTCCCAACTGTGGGGCATCACGATGCTTCCCAGGCCCCGCCCGCCCTGCCTGGCCCAGTGCGAGGCCAGGTTTCCGGGGAGCTCTCTCAGCCTGGGCGAAGCGGGAGATCGAACCTGCTCGTTACTTTTGAACGGCTAGCGATCTAAGAATTATTTTTCCATTTTTATTTTTACTTATTTATTTGAGAGAGAGAGAGAGTGCACAAGTGGGGGGGGGGATGTGGAGGGACAAGCAGACTCGGTGCTGAGCACAGAGCCCCAAGCGGTGCTTGATCTCAGGACCCTGAGATCAGGACCTGAGCTGAAATCAAGAATCCCCCACCTTTAACTGACTAAGCCACCCAGGCTTAGTCCATTTTTTTTCTTTCTTTCTTTTTTTTCATTTTTAAATGGTTGTGGGGGAAAAAAAATCAAAAGAATTACCTTTTGTGACTTGTGAAAATACTATGAAGTTCAAATTTTAGTGCCCATAAATAAAATATTATTGGAAGACAGCCATGCCCATTCATTTACCCAATTGTCCATGCCTGCTTTCCCACTACAAGAGCAGAGTTCAATGGTTGCAATAGAGAGCGTGTGACCCACGCAGCCTCAAAAATTGACTATCCGGCCTTTTGCAGAGGAAGTGGGCGGGCCCTTGCCTTGGAGTCTTCAGACCAGCCTGGATGTGCCTTCTGCACAGGGGAGTGGCTTTTGAGTTTACTTTCATGCCCTGTAGGGCCCAACAGAGTCTGTTTCTTCATTTGGTCATTCAACAGCCGTTTGTTAGGTGCCTGTTGTATGAGATTCAGAGAGCAAATGACACACCCTTTCCTCTGTTGACGCAGACACTTCAACTGGCAATTTATCAAGGGCGGTGCGAGAAATGCTGACAATACTACTACTACTACTATATTATTTGCTGCCAGGCCCTGTTCTAAAGCCCACACAAGTTGGCTCTCATGTGATCATGGTGCTGCATGCATATTGAGTGCTCATAATTCTCCAGGCATCGTTCATCATTGCTCACCACTCACTTACATGTATCATCTCGGGGAATGCTGCTCCTAGGAAATGGATTCTCTAGTTTTCCCATTTTGCAGATGAGGGGACAGGCCCAGAGGGGTTATGTAACTGGCCCAAAGTCACACAGCTAGTGAGGGGTGGAGGATTTGACTTCCATCTGCTGATGGTACCCCTTGTTTCTTTGACCTCTGAGCTGTGCTGCTTTGGGTTGTCTGCCTTAAATCTGAGGGTCGTGGGAACTCAGAAGAATCTTTAACAAGAATGGAGTGTTTGGGGGTGAGAAGGAGTGAGACAGGACCCCTAGGAAGGGTGACTCCTGAGCTGGATGAAAAGGAATGAGGCAGAGAAGGGGGGGCGGGGCAGAATAATGCTCACAGATCCTGATGGACAAAATGGAGCTTCAGAGCTGCAGAAGCAGGCTCCCCACTGAGCAAGGAGCCCAATGTGGGGCTCCATCCCAGGACCCTGGGATCATGACCTGAGCCGAAGGCAGATGCTTAACCGACTGAGCCACCCAGGCATCCCCCACATCTGGATTTTGCTCGAATCCTTGTCCTGCACTTGAATGAAGAAATAGTGTTGGAAAATGCAAGGTGGAAAATGCCACCTTGTAATATTTAGAGGAGGGGAGGTATGAGAATCTTTGGTTGTCAAAGGACATGGCGAGCCTCTCTTATCACTCACATACAAAGCAGGTGATGGAACCCAAACATCAGCCTGATGTATGAAGAGACTGTTCTATAAAGATGTCAAACGCAGGCCAGTTCCTGTGGGGCCAAGGGAACCGACTTAGGGAGAGGAGGGTAATTAGCCAGTCTGGGCAGAGTGGCAGGAAAGGATCTGAATTCTAGCTCAGGGGACCTCATCTCTGTTTGCTTAAACGTAAAGTGGAATATCTTGGCTCTGCCCAAAGAAATGAATGTAATGAGGACCTGTGAATGTATTTGTAAAACATTTTGAGTAAGAAAAGAGAATGCTGTGGGCTGGGAAGGGCATTCCAGAATCATGGTGCAGCTTTTAGGGACAACAGCAGAATGACAGAAGAGGAGGAAGGCTCTAAGCATCAGGAAGTTCTTGACATAAAGCTGAAGCCCATTTCCCTGCTTTTGGCACCCACTGGCCCTATTTCTAAGGTCAAGGGGCACAGAGGACTTCTTAGTTTGGGGACCTGGGGCAAGTTGTTAACTACTGTATGGCTCAATTTCATTACCCAAAGATGGAACTAATGACCCTTAATTGGTTGGAGAGGTTTCACAGGATAACTTTGGGAAGGCATTTAGCATGATGCCTGGTCCTTCATCTAGATTCCATGGATGCTGAACTGGAAGTCTTTGGCTTAGCAAATAGGCTCCCTCCTGACTTTCACATTGTGTAAATTTTTT